GCCCAACCCCTCCCCCCACCCCGCGGTTTTTCTCTCCCGATCACCCAGCCACTCTTCAATTCGATCACGAACCGAGAAAAATCAAAGGAGAAGTCAAATTTCCAATCCAAACAAACACTAAAAAAATATATAACTTTTATAATTGAAAAAGAGTTGAATCAGGTTCTGTTTCGTTCGAATTTCGAGAATTTTCCTGATTCTGCATGTCTGAAATAAAGATGAGAAAGAAGTGAGAGAAAGAGAAAGGTTTCGTTACCTCCGAGACGAGAAAACGTAATGTCTATGGGGAGGTTGCGAATGTCTTCGGGACTCTGCATTTTCCGGGAATATCTTTCTGCTTTCCGGGAAAACGAAACAAACAGTCTGTCTCTTCTCTGCTCCGACTCTTCCTCGGCTTTCACAGTACTGCCGATTGCGTAGTCAATGCGTAGGCGTAGCAAACCAGGCTTGGGCCTGCATAACGTCCTTCCACTTTGGGCCGAAATTTTAAGGGCCCATTTACCTAGTAGGCCGTGTAAGTAGCCAGGCCCAAGGGTATTTCGGTCATAATGGAAATGCTTATGCTCAGTGCTTAGATGAAAATCCGACTTGGACATAGTTATTAGCAGCTGCTTCTTCTGCTCTTTCAGTCTGTTCCCAAATTCCTCTTTATTTCATCTAAAAGGTATTTTCCTGATTTCTTATGCGATTTTTTGGTTATATTTTATGCATTTATTTTATTTTTTTTGTATGTAAATTTTTCTGGGCTTTAATCTGATGATCAATATTGTTTTTGATTGATGACTTGATCTAGATTCTTTCGTCAAAATTTACTCGGATTATCGCGATTTGGATGCTTTTTCTGTTGCCCTAATTGCAATAGGATGAAGAAATTTGGGGGTTTTGGAATTTGAATTTTTGTCTCTACTGTATCTATTTGTGATATCGACTTTTCGTTTCGAAAATCTCAATGAAAGAGCTAAACTTGATCCTTTTTTTCCCGAGAAAATGCTCATTGTTTTCGACGAAATTAGTTTTCTTTGGAATGGGAAATTTGCGCTTCTAGAAGTTATTACGTGTGAAACCATTGAATGACATTGTCATTGTGTAAGTTGCCTAACCCTAAGAATCCCCAAATCAGTGGAAATGGAAGGTTGAATAGGTTTTCGTTGTTTTATGATTGATGATATTCTTTTGGAATGAATGGATATAGAAAAAGTTGCGATTTCCTTGGATATTTCATGTTAGTATTTGTGATATATATATATATATATATATATATATATATTGGTTTTTGCTTACATTTTGAATTGAAAATACATTCGAAGTGATTTTCTTTGTAACCTTATGCAGTTTGGTTTAGTGCCCAGTTAGTAGAAAGCCATGGTGGACCCCGCAGAGCGTAGATACTTGGAGGATGAGGATACACCGGTTATGAAAACCATCAAAGGTGCAACGATGGGTTTAGTTTCTGGAACCATCTTTGGGACTGTTGTCGCTACTTGGTACGATGTGCCTCGTGTAGAAAGAAGTGTCGCTCTTCCAGGACTCATAAGGACTCTTAAGATGATGGGTAACTATGGCCTAACGTTTGCTGCAATTGGGGGAGTTTACGTTGGTGTTGAGCAGCTCGTGCAGCATTATCGGATGAAGAGGGACTTTATCAATGGAGCGGTTGGTGGTTTTGTTGCAGGATCAACTATTCTAGGTTACAAAGGTGAGGATTTCTTTGGATATCCAATTGTTTGATTCAGGATGTAAAGTGTAGTAACCTACTATCCACTTGGTTTTATCTTTATCCAGAATGTCAATTATTATTATTTTCATGTGTGAATTTCTTTATTCTATAGTTCACAAATTCTTCAAATGAAATCTTTGGGCACTCTTGGCTTGAAAAAGCTAAAGGATTGAGGAGACCATATGTGTGGTGCTAATATAGCGAGATTAGTACTTGTTTCTGCTTGTTAGAAGGAAATATCCTAGGTTTGATGATCTTGTATTTGTTGCCATTACTACTAACTATCCTAGTTTGAAGGTTGTCGGATTTAAATTCTGAGTATCCGTTTCTTGATTAATGTTCGCGTTGTGCTTTGTTATTGAGTGTCTTGCTATATGATAAACTGTATTAACCTTAGAATCAGAGACTAAATTTTTTTTAACCTCTCCTTGTATAAGCAATGGAGCATCCACTATTTTGTTGCTTATGGTTTTTGGTGCTGTGGTAGATATGCAGCACTCAAAATAAAAGTTGTTGTGCTCACGCTTTTATTAACTGTATAATGTTTGACACAAATGGTAATACTAACCACGTAGGTTTACGAAATTCTGAAATCAATTATTTGAATTCTACAGCTATTTTTCTTTATTCTTCCGGTACTTCAATTCAATTCATAGATTTCTCTTATTAGTATATTTCCAATACTAGCCCGAATAGACATGAATTTCTGTCAATGCAAATTTACTAGACCGTCTAGAATCATTTTGTCTTTGTGTAGCTTTGAGCCATAGGGTTTTGTATTCTGGTTGATGTCCGTAAGTCATAACTCGTAAAAGTTTGTAGGCTATCCATTTCATAATTCATAGATGTAAATAATGGACAAACACATTCAATGTGGTATATATACTATTCAAAACTGAACTTTGATTATCGATTGGTCCATTTCACAGGGAGGAGCCTTTCGACTGCAATTTCTGCCGGAGCCGCTTTGGCAGTCACTTCTGCGGTTATTGATGCTGGAGGTCAGACCACAAGAATCGACACCGGCAAGGAGTACTATCCTTACACCACCAAGAAAAGATCCTCAGCTGAGTCATAATCAATTGATGCTGTTATTGACAAAAAAAATATGTTGAGTTAATTGGAGAGAATGAGCTGTGATGTTGAACTAGCTGTATTTTCAGAGATGTAATCATACTCATCCTTCTTTCCATGCTTTTGGAATTAAAGTGTTTAGAGCTTGAATGGATGTTTTGAATAAATTTGATTTGTCATCGCTTCAAAATAATGTCTCAAATAATTGTAAAACTCTCTTTCAGACCTTCATTAGCTTTGAAAGTACTGAGAAACGGAGATCTTAGAAATGAACAAAATAGGAACAATAGATTATAAGAAACTTCATTCCTGGGATGGAACATAATCCAGATTCAACAAACTGGCAATGTTTATTTAGTTCATCGTTACATTCTTAAAGGACCACTAAAACATAAATCAAACTTAAAACACCGCTTGATTTTTTGTATGAATGGCTTGATGAATAAGCGAATCGTGTTATGGCGCAGTCTTAGCAGTCAAATGCACAGATGTGGCAAAATGGAACACCGTTGATTTTCTCCTTGACTTGTGATGCTTGATATGTGATCTAAAAAACAAAACCATCTTGACAGGAAAAAATTGTATAAGAAAACTGAAGCAAAAGTAGCTAATCCATTCTTCTATACGACTTTGAGAATGAATAGCCATGCACAATAGATGAAAACTACAATTATTTCAATCATTCAAAGATTTTTTACTTTTTTAATTTTTTTTTCCCTTAAGACGTAAAGAAAAGATCATTGGACAGAAAAAAAAAAAAAAAAAAAAAAAAAAAGACCAGGAAAGAGGGAGGAAAAAAAAAAAACAATAAAAAAGCGCAGAGAAGAGAGAGATAGACTAAAAACTATGCCAATGTACTCAAAAGACTAGAGACGAGAGAGCTTTGGCTTAACAGGAAAGTGAGGAACCAGAAGTGGTGCTGGGTTTTCATCTTCAACGAATTTGTGCTCCAGAGGCTGCCTCAACATGTCTTCTGTATACCCACATAGACCAAAACGATGCAAACATGAAGAGATTGTTGAAAATAAAGAACCCCACATAATTCTTTTTCTCTCTTTTTGAATCTGATGGCAAAATATTCTACAATGTTGAAGCAAACTTATCTTCCTCACTCCTTTTAAGTATTGGGATAAAAGGGATCAATGTTGAGTCATCTGTAGAGAAGCACTTACTTTTGTTTGACCGATGATGTGATAGGTATGCACCATTTAATGGTTAGTATTCTGAGAAATGTTTTCCTTGCAAAAAGTCTCATTCCTAGCCTCCTAGGTAGGACTTTTAACTTGTCTTGGTCGTTTACTACTTAGTAGAGATGTTTCATTGATAATTTTGTTTGGGCTTCTTCTTTTCCTGTCTCCTTTTTTATTTGTTCTTGAATAATCAAAACAGTTCTAGACAGGATGTCAACTACTTAGGATGCCATATATAATTTTTATTTCAGTATTAATCAAAACCATATTGAATCTTATTTCGTTGCACTCGAATTTTTTCATGAAATGACTTCTAAGAGTTCTGAACAGGGTGTCAATCTAGTTGGGATGTCATGGACAATTTTTATTTCAGTATCAACTAAAATGGTTATTGAATCTTATTCTGTTGTACTCGAATTTTTTCATCAAAATTGTTATCTTGTAAGTATATTGATGTTTAAAATCTTGAAAAATAAAAATAAAATAAAATAAAATAAAAGGACTATATACATCTCTCTTTAAGTATAAACCTTTCATGAACTCCAAAAAGACTTTTTATTATTAGCTCTCACAACTAATAGGCATTGTTTACATTACTCATATATATTTAGAGGTTGCAATCTTGATGTCCAATGTTACTACATACCCTCTTTTTTTTTTTTCTTTCGTGTGTATATATATATATATATATATATTATATCCTTGGCGTTCAAAACTTTACTCCAATTGATCCATAGATCCTTACCCTCTACGCGGATAGGGTAAATCTCGTTCCTTAGCCGTGACCTCAAAAAATTGATAGCACTCAATGGGAATTGAACTTTAGACCTAATGCTTCCTGAAGCACTTGTGATTCACCATTGAGCTAACCCCTTGAGGTTATTACACTCTCTCTTTTAAGATTTGAGATAGAATTATTACAGTTATGTTGACCAAGTAAATAACTATTCCAACAAACCTCTATTATAATTAAATTAACCATGTATTTTACTGATAATGTACAGAAAAATGTAGGAACGAAGAAAGTGTTTCACAACATCACTTATTTTGATTATTTTTCTTCCGTGTTACTACTACATTATTAACCATCACAAATAATTTGTATAATCACTACAAGTAATTATAGAAGCAATACCGTGACGATTAATAAATACTATTATTTTTAGAATAATTTCATATTAGAGTGATTAGTAAAAATCATAATCAACCCGAAGATGAAAAAAAAAAATAGATGTATCTATCCCCCTAAACCTATACTCTTATAAGGTTTTTCTTTTCTTTTTTTTTTTTTTGAAAATTGTGCTTGAACTTTTTTATTTTACGAAAATATATGTTTTGTTTACATGAGTATGAGTCAATCAGTGATTGACTAATGAACCATTGATCCACGATCAATCATGATTGATAGATTTATTATTAATTTATTAATGATTTATCATTAATAAACATGTAATTTGTTGATTAAAATTGATTAATTACTAATTAATTTTAGTTTATTATTAATTAATATTGATTAATAATAAAGAATAATTGAGTTAATCAGTGATAAATTTGAATCAATCAGTGATTGACTGCTGAGTTAATCAATGATTGACCGTTAAGTTAATGAAAACAGTTATTTTTACAATTTTGCAAAACTTCGGCCATTTATAAAAATAATATCCTTCAAAAAAGGCTATTTGTGCTGAAATTCTCTCTTTTTTTTTTTTTTTTTTTTTTTTTGAGAAACCTCACCAAGGAAATTTTATTAAAAGAGAAAGAAAAAGATATACATCAGTAATAGAGAGGTTAAGAATCCAACAAGAAAAAAAAACCCTAAACTTATATCTTGTAAAAGCAGAAGCATACAAACCAAACTCTCTAAAAAAACTTGAGACATTATGCTTACCAAGTGTAACAGCAGAAACTACACCAAAACAAGCCAAACAATCAGCTACACTTTTAACTATCTAACCAGAAATTCCTAAAGAGTTTTGACAACTTACCCCTTAAACTTCTAATTTTGATAAATCTATGCCCCTTCCCCCTTCCTAAACTTATAAAGTTGTTATATTGTGCCACATTTTATCAATTTCTTGGATTTTTATTTGATTTTAGGATTAAAAATTAGAGAATTGAGACACTTATTTTACAATTTAAATTGTGATGTTGGATACTTCTGTCAAACCTACATTATCACCAACACTTTAATACAATCATTGTCAAAATAGAACATATTTTAAAACTTTTAATGTTGCAGGGTAACTTAAAAAAATTAGAAATTCAAGAGGCAAGTTATTATGTCCGGACAAGTTCAAATGTGCAAAATACCCATAATTTAATCGATAGATGATTCACGTGGCACCATCTATCGAAGTATCATCTCCAACGGTCCCCAACAAATCTTGTAGAAGATACCACCCAGGATGCTCTAGAGAAGAAGTGAGAGATTTGAGAAATGTATCCTCTTCTAGTTGCCACGTGGCAGAAACCCATTGACTCTTCCAAATTGCTTGGGCCAATTCATGGCTGGCTTCCCTTAACTATCACAGTGCACTGCTTAGAGAGAGAGAGAGAAAGAGGGAGAGAGAGAGAGAGAGGGAGACTACAACTGCACCTCCAAAATGGCCGGACTTGGCACTTATTGTTGCTCAACTTTCTCTTCCAAAAGGTAAAGAAATCTCTGCTTCAATGATGGGGAAAATCTTTGATCCTGGTTCTGTTTTTTATGAAGATAAATTCAAGATTTTTAAACATTTTCCTAGTGATAAACTTTAGGATTTGAGCTAAACTTTTGCTTAGAATTTTCTAGCTGTAAACTTTATTTCAGTCTAAGTTTGTTACTCAACTATTATGTTATACATGTGGGAATACAAAAAATAAAAATAAAAAAATTATGAATTTGGGGTCTTGTTTTGAGCAGTTTAAGGACATCTCCATTGGAATTCAAGTCTCTCACTCATCGCGGAGGAACCGTCGTGGGAAATCCGATTCGTCGGAGAGGTTTGGCCATTAGAGCAGAAGTGAATTATGTGAGTGCTGAAGAAGCAAAAGAACTTATTGCTGAGGGATACACAGTTCTTGATGTCAGGGATAAATCTCAATTTGATAGAGCACATATCAAGTCATGTTACCATGTCCCTCTTTTCATTGAGAACGAAGACAATGACTTTGGTAATAAAATTAAAAATTGCTATATATTCATCAACAGAAATGTCTCAATTGTTTGCTTGTGTTGAGCATTTGTTATTTTGATTTTGTGCAGGCACAATTGTGAAGAGGACTTTGCACAACAACTTCTCGGGTTTGTTCTTCGGTCTGCCGTTTACTAAGCCTAATCCCGAGTTTGTTCAATCTGTTAAAAGCCAGTTTTCATTGGGAAGTAAGCTCTTGCTTGTGTGTCAGGAAGGATTGAGGTTAGTTTATGTCAAATATTTGAGAATTATTTGTCATTTGACATTCTTTCTTGAGGACTTTGAACCATGTTGTGTTTACACATTGCAGTGAAACAAGTTCTCAAACCAATAACTATTTCATAGTGATTATTCCTAAGAATAGCGAGACAAAAATTTGGGTTACAAAAATATTTGCTAAGCAACATTTTGTCCTTATGTTTGAAGAGAATACAGGAAAATTGAGAAGGATAGGTATATTCGCCGAGTAACTAGAAAGATAGAAATCAAAAGTCATGACATGACAAGCTCATGTAAAAAGATGTTTTCTAGCTAGAAGCAGATATTTCATGAGATAATAAGAAGCATTCGCCCGGTAACCAAAAGATTTCCACATCCGATACACGAAATTGGTAAGAGTACTTGAAGGATAGCTGACAGAGGCATACCGCTATGGCTAGACTAAGATGCAAAACTAGGAGATAATTGCTAATCACAATACTTAACTAAACCCCACCTAACCTAATTGAGGCTCCTCCTTTGCTGGATCGGTAGGATCATACTCAGATCGTAGATTTGACCAAGACCTGCTAACCATAACAAATATTTTGTGGGGTCATTTTCCATTTGACATGAGAATTGGTATCACCTAGATGTTGAATGAATATAAGTTAGTTTTTCCTTATATGTTTATCACTTGAGAAGCAGTCTTCTTTTTTCTTTTTTCGCCTAATCTGGAAGCCATTTGACAAGATACTGTTTCTTTTTAATGTCAAGGTCTACTGCTGCTGCTAATAAGTTGGAGGAAACTGGGTTCCAAAACTTAGCATGCATAGTATCTGGTCTTCAAACTGTCAAACCAGGTTAGAATTAATTAACTTAAACATATTATTCCTAATCTGTCTCATACTTTTTAGTTTAGATTAAGATATGATAAAGTTTGACTTTTGCCCATGTAGGAACACTTGATTCTGTTGGTTCCACTGAGTTGCAAGATGCTGGTAAAGCTGGTTTAATCACTATTCAAGGCAAAATCTCGGCTGTGCTTGGAACTGTACTTGTCTGTAAGTCCTCTTTTTTCCGCTTTTTTTTTTTGGGTGCACTTATATGCACATATCTGACCATTAAAAAACTAATATGATATCAACAAATCTTATTGGTGGAGCCAAATGGCCTTCTCCACCATAAAAAAAATCCATTTTTTTTAAGTTGCTTGAAATGTACTTGTTTGTAAGTCCTGGTTATGGAACAGTTTTGCTTTTAAAATTTGATATGTTTGAAATCTGTCAGTGACATTTGTTTTCCCTTGTTTTATCAAATTTCAGGTGCATATCTATTCATCACATTCTTCCCAGATCAAGCAGAGAAGTTGTTTCAGTTGGCTCCTACAAGCTAGCTCCTATAAGAATACGAAATATCTCTAATCCCTCTGTCAATTGACTGAAGAAATTGCAATTTTTGGACCTCGGCGACATAGATGTATCGGTGAATGTTCATGTCTATAAATAGCCAATTTCTTTGTTCTCAATTTGGCTTTTTAATAGTTAGCAATTTAGCACAGCGCCCTTACTAAACATGAATTAAAGAATAGGAGATAACCTCCGAGGAGGGAAAGCCAAAAAGGAATTTAATTTTAGTTCGAGAATTATATTTCAGCCAAAAAAAAAAAAGAAAAAAAAAGAATAGAATTCCGTCTAGGTGTTTGTTTAGTAGTCTATCAGAAAATCTAAAATAAGAATGAGTGTGGTTACAGCAATACCATTTTGTAGAGAAAATAATTGAATTAAAATGGGATTACTTCTGATAAAGGAATTAAGCCTTATTTTGTATGGACCGGAATTCAATTTCATAGATAAGAAGTAGAAATTAAACATCCAAATTCAAAAGGGAGTTTCTCTAGTAGTTCTTGAAAAAATGAACTGTGGGTAGTCTTTTACTTTTTAACCATCAGATATGTATCAGAATCTGTCTTTTCTGCATACTTTTTTAATTTGATGTGATTTTGACTAGATTCAACGGTCAAAAACTGAGACTACCAGTAGGTGGACTATCAGAGAAACTTCCAATTCAAAATTAGGAACTTAGGGCGCGTTTACGAAACCATAAACAAATCTAATGGAAAGATAATGAGATTGGAAAGGAAAGTAAATAATAGTAATAAGGATTATTAATTCCCTTTCAAGTGCTTACTTGACTATTAGATTGTATAATAGAAAAAAAAACTCAATTTCTTTTCTAGTATTTACTAAACTTGAGAATAGCAACATTATCGTAATCACAAAAAGGTCATTTTATACAATTAAATAATCATCAATGATATAATAATTTATTAAAGGTAAATAAGTAAATTTGACATTCATTCCTTTTAGCAAAAAGTGTGTATCATGGGGTACGAAGATTGACATTCCCCTTCCTCATTCCTTATATTGTATGTGAGTCTAGATCTGTTGTCCTCATTTTCATGTCTTGGTGGCTGTCCCTCCACTACTTATTTGCAATGTGTTGGGACCCGGTAGATTCGGTGCGTATGACATGTCAAGGGTATACACATGCAAGTACCGAATTCGGTGGTGTTGGTGATGACGCAGACGAAACACGCGGCGTTCACAGAGGAGCTTGTACGGTAGGACCTCTAACGAAGAAGAGGGGATCGACTAAGCCCAAAGTACGCCGAAGAAAATGGATTCTAGGGCCCACTTTGTCGCCAAATCGCCAAGACGCCAACGTACACACAGGGAAGGAGTTCTTGTAAAGTCATGGAGATCGCATGGACGAAGTATGGTGGGAGGAGTGATTGAACAGTTGATGGAGATTTGAATCAGGAAGGTGGATAAGGCTACTTAGAGAGGTGCTCGGAGGACAAGCACAAGTTGCCTCTGGAGTGAGAATATGATTCATAAGGTGTGGATAAGGCTATTTGGAGGAGTGCTCCAAGGACAAGCGCAAGTTGCGTCCGGAGCGGATGTATGACTCGATTGGTATGGATAAGGCTGTTTGGGAGAGTTAGTGAATTCTCACTCCGGAGGAACGTAGGTCACTCCGTGAGCAAGTTTTACGGACTTTTAACAAAGGAGGCAAAGCCCACTTCAGAGGAACGCATGTTGCTCCAAGAGTAGACGTCAACAGACAAAGTTTTATGTCTTTCCGGAAGTGTGCTCCAGAGCGGCGGAGTCCGGCCATAGAGGTGGATTTTCGGACTTCCGGAGAAATCTCAGAAACTTCATATATAGCTTGTAGATGAGTTTGGATGGATCAAATGAAGTGTTTGAAGGTTTTTTAGGGTGAGACTTGGGCAGAGTTTCAGAATTCACTCGAAGGTCTTCGAGCTCGAAAAGCACAAGCTTGAAGAACTTACTTGAACTCTTAGAAGAAAAACACTCAGAGTTTTGGTAAGGAAGAGACCTTCTCAGATGGTCAAGTATAAGAATGGTCTTGAGTGTTGTGTCCTTGAAGTGTTGATAGAAGGAGGTATTTATAGGAAAAGTTTGGGAGATTTTGGCGGTTGCTCCGGCGCCGTATAATCACGCCTTGACAAAGGCTTGTATGAACCATTTCCCTTTGGAGCAACTGCATCAGGTGGCTTTCCTCTTTGACAAACAAATTGGTCGAAAATGAGTGTATTTGGAGGCAAAATCTGGAATTCTCGCTGACATTGGACCTTTCTCAGGTCTGGAGATCATGGTGTGTTTGACTAAGTCTGGTGCTCCGTGGACACTTCTATTCTTGGAGGTCTGAACGCAAGACAAACTAGCTCCAGAGCGCTGCTTTCCGTTGTTGACTAAACAGACATCGCTGGAGCACCTGACACATTCAACCTCCATAGAGCACGGGGAGAACCTTCAGATACAGAGGAGTCTCTCGGAGCATGGGAGGTATCTTCGGTCATGGAGGAGTCTCTTAATTGATCTCCGTGGTGGCCTCCACATTTACGTCTTCGGAACTAGCACAAAGACAGACTTCAGCTGGCTTGCTCCGGAGCAAAAATGCTCATGCGCTGACGCCGGAGGGGAAGGTCCTAAAGCTTAAATTTCAGGCTTTTGAGTCTCAAAGGGTAAGGAAATGACTTTTAGGACTCCTAAAGGACAAGGTAAAGGACTTCTAAGGTTAAGTTCTCCATCACTGACTTATTCATTAGCCCATTTATTTTAAAACCCCCCAACAGGGATTCAAAATCGGATTGGATTAAGAAATAAATCAACCCATTTGATTACCCATGGCCCACAAAACCACGGCCCACGCGAGTTCCCTGAGCGTGACTTGAGTCCACAAAGCGAGCCCAACAATGTCACAGGACAGAAAGACAGAATTATTGAGTCTAGATCCTTGTACGGGTCTTTTACAAAAACGATCGTCAACACCCTGTCATCTAAGTTTAAGAATTTAACCATACAAATAGGAACAAAATACTAAAAACATTTGGGCAATTCACAAAGTGTCAAAATTTAACTGAAAAAACAGTCACCGAGACAGGAAAATGGAACAACAGATCTCAATTCATTGTGTGACCCACTCAATCTCCATTATCAATTTTATAAGTAAAACACATTATTAAATAAAAAAGAGAACATTTTTCTTTCCCTTTCCTTTTGATGCGAAGTAAAAGCACCCATGTATTCTCTTTTCTGAGTTTGAATTCCTGATTGAGTAAACAAGCAAATCATGTGCAAAAATTCCTTCGTCTCATGTCAGCTTAGGAATAGGCATCTAAATATGGTGAATGATGATCCCTGGCTGGCCGCTAAAACAGTGGCTGCCTTTCAAGATAACTTGGTTTAGTGCTTCAGCCTTCAGGTCCTCAGGATAAATAAATAAACAAATAGAAACAGATTTGTGCACGATTTTATCTATTATTCAAACGACAAAAACAAAACTTTGCCCGATGAGTCTTATTGGGAGGAAATCAGGGATGAACAAGAGGTCATCCGTACATTACAGCATCAAGCCTCGCTTAACCATATTATGTTTGATATTGCACAATATACTCAATTTTTTATTTTCAATTTTTCGATAAATAAAATATACTACACTACCACAACATAGAAAAGGCCTTATCTCAATCATAATCAGGTTTTTCTTCGTTCATACTAGGACCAAATCCTAACAGCACATAATCGGTTCTCTGTCACCGGAAACAAGTAATTTACTGTTAAAATATCAAATTGGATAAAACCTCGAAAGGTGGAGACAAGAGTTGAAAATCCAGCATTCTAGATCAAAAGGAGGAAATTGGTGAAAAATTTTCACAAGGCTGTGAACCTAGATCAACAAAATATTACTGTAAATTACCTTTTTTTTTCTTCAAAAAAAATATTACAATGAGATTAGGAAATGTACTTCTACTTCCACTCTGTGCAAGTTGCAACACTGCAAATGCTTAAAATGATGTACCACTCTGAAAAAGCGTGAGGTTTATTTCGGCTGCCTGTGGTACCACTTAAATCGAAAAGATCAACATGAAGAGGAATAAAAAGATGAAACCAGAAAACTTCTTCTGTACCATCCTAGTCGTTTAAGCACCTTGCGATTATTAGTCCCCTTGTAGGCAGTAAAGCTGACGGATATTCCCCGAGGCTGAAATCATTTAAAGAGATGTTAAACCACACCGACTTCATCTTGAAAAAATTTGAGAAGAAGAAAAATTCATGCAAAAGAGACGAGTATATTTAGAAGTTGGTAGGGTCTGAACACAACAAGAATGAAAATTCGAAATATTAACAAGTAACATGCACTCTAAAAGAATTTAACAAGCGTCTCTTTGTCGTAGAACAAGGGAAGTAGAACCAAATCTATATATCTTTCACCATAAGTGGTCTATATGATGACCATCTCCTATCATGTCATCAAAAAAGCAAAACAACAGGACTTAAAATACCAGAACTCTCTATGTGGATCACCAGGAGTGTTAAAGAAGATAAAAAATATATATATTTTAACATGAAAAAGAAAACGAGGATCATTACCATATAACCAATCTTTAAAATACACATGTAGCGCACAAGTTAGTTCGCGTTTTCGGTTTTCTTCGAGGGGTGCTTCTCTCAGTAGTTGTTTTACCTCTCCTAAATTCTTTTGCTGCAAGGAAACAATTTAGGTTATCTAACGAGTTTCAACAAAATAGGTTAAACCACAAGCAAAAAGCTTGCCACCATTTGAAGATGCAACCTAACGTGAGTAAAACATTATCTGACTCTGATCAATATATTTTGACGACTTACATTTCTTTTCTGAGATGCCAAATAAGGATCTGGCAAGGGAAACGGGTTGTCTTTTGTGGAACCAGCGGATTCACCAGCAAACCAGTTTGGAATCTGCAAATCAAGGGAATGAGATACAAAAGAACCCCACCCCCCAACCCCCAAAGGTAATAAAAAATAAAAAATAAAAAAGGGACAACAGCGCGGCTATAAATTTAAGAGCATCCCCAACTCAGCCGTCCCCCCATCTTAGCTGCCTCACTAAGAAATAGACTGCAGGTAACTATAAAAAAAAATACCAAAAAATTTGTAAACTGATCTGGGTCTATGCGCGTTGCTGACTCGGCCTGAACATCAGAAATGCCAGCTGGATGAGATAATGAATCGTGTGGATCAACCACTCCAAGGGCCAAAGGTTCATCCCATCTATTGATAGTAGCCTCAATGCCGACTTCAGACATGTGCTCCTCCAACTGAGAGTAATATGTGTTGTATGGTGCGACCTGACAAAAGTTTGGGGTAAAAATAATTGGGTTCATTTTGACCATGACAAATATACTGCTTATAAGACACAGGTATCTTCTTCGAGCTTTCAAATAAAATGATCCCGATTCCAAAATCACAAGCATTGAAACTCAAAATACACGATCAAATATAATGCTAGCAAAGACCATTCATTCGTACAGAGAGAGAGTAAACATTCCATTGAGCACTTACAGGATCCCAATTTCTTTTTTGTACCTTACAAGTAAATTTAAAATAGTGCATCCTAAGGGTCGAACTACAGATTATGATGTTTCAGAAAAAGTTGAAAGATTAGAAACTGCGGAGATGAGCTAGTTCTAAAACATGGAAAGCCTTGTTAAAAGTACATTTTAAGTGAAATGGATAGCAACTTAATGGTCCACCAACATATGAAATCACTGACCTGCAGCTTATGATTATCACCAACCATAAGTGGTCGTTGGTTCACCCCAAGAAAGAACACACACTCCCGGCAGTTAGCAATGCAGACCCGTTTAGATGCCGTAACCACATGAACTCTCTCGCAGTGTTCCACTCTTACAGCCTGTTAAATACAAGAAAATCATAACATACTTCGGGAAATTTTCAAATAGATGACGATAGCATTCACATTTGTTTTGTAAGGACCGCATTCATATTCATCACAGTTAAAAGCTAGACAGTAATCACTTGAGATAGTACAATATATAAGAGAAATCTCCCTTGATAGCAAGGGTTCTAAATGCTTCTGGAAGGCTCAGATACAGAAATCCAATACAAGAGTAATACTGCTACAGAACTCTTAGTTACAATATTGGGACAATTTTGAGTACAATTTTAGGTACCTGATTGATAGGGGTTAGTGGTTTATTACTTAAGAGGGTTAGTTGATTAGAGGGCAATTAGTGAGGGAGGGTGTTGAATCCGTCATTTGTGTGGCCTGGTGCCTTGGGAGGTTAGGGAGACCTCAAAACTTCCCTTCCATCTTGTTACTTTCCCATTTTTAGTCTTGTTAAATCAGTTCAGATTTATGGGTTGCATTTTTTTCATCAGAAAACATTAGAAGAATAAATGCATGCATAAGAACAAACGTCATATTTAATACTTGCGTAAGAAAAATAAGTCACATTTAAATACCTAAAAGAAGACAAATGTAACGTCTTATTGCTATTAAGGATCATGACAAGACAACTTTTGAAAAAAATGGCGAGCTATCTATATGAAGGTTAGCTAAAAACCAATCTAAGCTCTTTTCAGTAGTATTATTCCATTCTCTTGTGATTTTTGCTCAGTTGGCTGACCAAGCTAGTTTTCCTATTAGTAAAAGGAAGAACTCTAGATAAATGGTAAAGTTGCATTTTGTTCAATGACAATATATCATTGTTAATGCTTTTATTAGCTATAAGACGATATTTACAGAAAGTGAAATCTTAAATTTTTTCCCTACAATATTGAATTCTTTATGCATCAGCACTGCAAATATTCTAAAACATTCTCCAAGTTAATTTACTCAGGAACTAGGGAAAAGATAGTCATGAAAATCATGACTTCTATTCTCAGCTGTTACGTGAAGTGGGCTGGCCACCAACACCAGACTCACCAATGGCTTCATTGTGACAGTTAAAAGACAAGTCCTATTCTTTTATTGATGATGTTCCACCCAAAAAATATTCATACAAGGCCTACTATTCTTTTTTTGATGATGCTCCACCCAAAAAATATTCATAGGACAAGTTCCTTAAGGCATTCCAATTCAGTGCTTTCAACTTATGTATTTATATTTGGGAATTTAAAGGGATCAGACACACCAATGCACAAAGCATCAACATATCTGCAATAACTAATCATTGAGAGAAGAAAGAGTCCTTGCATATTACCTTTCCAACAGCTCCAAGAACTATAGTAGCATCAGAGCATCCATAAACTGTGGCGTATCTCAGAGGTGCTAAGATGTAAATAACAGAATCATGGGAGTTTAAAACCTGCAATGGAGAATAACATGTCAAGAGCAAGCTAAAGAGATATCTCTTACATTAAAAGACATAGAACAATATTTTGACTCGAGCCCTAAAAAGAAGGATTATGAGCTTGTCGCAGGTCATACCACATAATCTCACTGGAGGATGAAATTTGGTTCCTGCGTTTTATAATTAGCCCCTTATACCAGCTAAAATAATAGGATAACTCACTTTCTTCAACCTCACATGTGAAGGAACACAAGGCCAACAACTTGGAAAAACTTGGTTCTTTCACCTCTTTCATCATCAAAGAGCTGATTCACTCATCTAATGTCATATTATACAATAAGGGACAGTCCTATTAAATCTTCGTCAATATAACATCTAATATAATAAAATTTGTGGACCTCTTAAATCCAGGTAATATTAGATATTTACCAAGAACCTAAGCTAGCTAAAACTGAATTTTATACGGTGAAGATATGTTATGCAGATTGCAGCATAAATAAAAATAAACATATTATGCTTTAAAAAAAGAAAATTTTATGAAAATAAACCTTTACAGATGAGCCTTTCAAGTCAAACGCTTGCTTTACAAGAGAGGTTTTCGAGATTCCTTCAATAAAACTAGGACTCCGAGCGCTTGTTGAAGCCTTGGTTGAATTTGCACAAGCATCAGTCATGGCAACATCTGGATCTGAGACGTTGGTGGGCCCATTATCTTTTGGAATATTCCTTTCAGAAATGTGCTCCAAGGTGGAAGCTATATTCTGCAGAACCCAGTCATGAACTTGTGCAGCAGGAACAGGAACGGCAGGCATATCAGGATCTGAATTGGCAAAAAATGGAGCAGCCTGGCTCAAGTGGCTTTCCTCCGTTCCCTTGTCACCGAATTGAATCAGAAACCCAAGATGCTCAAACCTCTCCATGGTTAAAACCTTATTAAAAAAATTAAAATAGCATTCAATCGGGAAATTAAGACGCAAAATAAAAGGCCAGGGAAATGGTAACAAGTAATAACATGTCACCAACACCATGTGATATCCGAAAGGAAAAACACACTCCACTACTGAAGATACTGATAAAGCTATTATCGTTACTATCATCTACAGCTGCATCAAAGAGGGTAATCAAGAAAGCTATTATTATCTTCTAATCTATATGAATAAGTTCGTCAAGGCTATAAAACCAGGTTCAGAAATCCATCAAACTAAGAATACAGAGCAGTAATTCTACAAACCAGAGATTCTTCGCCTTCTCCCTCCACAGGTTCTGCTAAAAGAGACAGAATGTTAGCCAAGTGCTTCTGCAGATATGATAGCTGATGAGCCTCTTCATCAGCTTGTGATGGCATAAGCCGACGGCTGTTGCTGCGTACAAGCTGCCATGTTTGAAAAATACCACACAAATTGCTTCATCAAATTCAATCAAATCAAAGGCATAAAAAATATTGGAAAACTTCAACTACATTTTAGAATCCACCAACAACTAATATTTCAACAGTCCAACACAGTCCAATTAATAAAAAATATATATAAAAAAAAAAAAAAAAAACTTAGTTACAGAGTTCCAGTAACGGGTTCCAGATTTCCAAGTTACAAGGCCCACGAAAATATTGCTAAACACATTCTCAGGCACACGACAATGTAAGCTAACCTAAATGAACAGTTTACAATTCAATAATGCATCAAAAATTACCATGACCTCATAATTAACCAAACTGATATCCAAACTTCCAAGTTACAGCACCAATTAACTTATCGATAAGCATATTCACAAACCAACCTATACATAATTTACGTAATTAGCAAAAATAGAATTACTTCCAATTAAAACAATTGACAAAAAAACCAAGTGTTTGCAATTGGTCATAATGGAAATTCCACCACATTACTAAACCAAGAAGCAAATTTTAATCCATTTCAAAAGAATCCGAACCAACATTATACAGTGCCCTACAAATGATGAATTCAAACCAGAAATGATCACCTGCAATGGCGAAAGAGCGGACAAGTAGCCATCGAAAGCCGAAGTAGAGGGCCAGACATCGGCGACGGAAGCCGAGTCCTTGTGCGTCCTCGGCAAAAGCCTCTTGTAGGACTGAATGTAGAGGAAAAGAACCAGATCATGAACATCGGCACCGACATCGTCAATCTCGCTCGGCTTGGCTCGGACGAGCGGGTCCGACTCTGAGTGGAGAATCGACGCGAGCGTGTCGAGAACGAGGCGCGCGTGGTCAATGGAGATCTGGAAGGCGTCGGCGATGGCGGAGGCGCTGATGCGCTGGCCCGTCGACGACTGCTCGACGAGCTTCCGCTTAAGCGGGATTAGGGTTTGGGTCGGGTCGGTGAAGATCAGCTTCGGGATTGGGAGGAGGCCGTGCTCGAACGGTTCTCGCCGGGGGTGCATCAGACTGGTCGGGTCCCTCGCCGGCGTCGGAGATGGAGACGGCGACGGCGACGGCGACGGAGACGTCGTAGATGCCTCGATGGGTTCGCTCATATCTTGTAGAGAGAGAAACTCTTTCGAGCTCCTTTTAGAGAGAGAGAGATTTGTGAGTTACAGATCTTCCAGAAATGAATAATTAGAAGAGAGAGAGAAAGGTGGAAGAGGAAGTACGGTGAGATTTGCTGCGGTCAAGTACAGTATAAACTAGAACGTGGCAATTTTCTATTTGGTATAATGATGTCGAAGCGGAGAGTGTGCAATTAGAGACTGCCATGTTGTCAAAAGTAATAAATAACCATGTGGCTTCACTTGCTGGAATCCGTGGAAATAGTTCATTCTCTTTTTCTTTCTTTTTTTCTTTTCTTTTTCTCTTTCTCTTTTTTGTCGTCTCGGTTTTTTTTTTTTTTTTTTCCAACAAGGTATTTATTGTTCATTTTTCTTTTATTTATCTCGTTCACCCTCTTCTTGTGACACATACCATAGCTTTTATTAATTTCGCTTTCGCTGGTTTCTTTTGAGATTATATTTTCTTTCTGGAATTCTTTTGAGATTATTTGAGAATGTTGGATAGTATTTGAGAGCTCCTTTCAGCATTTGTTATGTAGTGTGAAATTAATCTATCAATGATAAACTTTAGTATTTGAGTATAAAAACTATTTATTAATAAAATTATTTATTATGTTAAATTTAACATATATTATACTTAATACCAAACATTAAATATATCATTAATAAAATTATTTATTATGTTAAATTTGACATATATTATACTTAATACCAAATAATAGTATATATCAAATCTAATATTAAAAATAGCATGTTTGAAAGCAATTTGTTACCCAAATACTAAAATCTGATTGCCACATTAATTTGACACTGCATTATGCTTTAGGATAACATATTGACATTTTGCGGTAGAATATTTGAGGTTGTATTATGGTAGTTACACCTTAGCTTCTTAACCTCTAGTCTTCTACACTGTTCTCCTCGATTTTCTCCTTAACTTTTAAGGGCTGATGGCTTTCTTTCTCGGAAAGGGAGACACTTGAAACTTGACTGAGGTCAGAAAATATCTACATACCTCAAGTAGGGTTGACAATTCAGGTAGCGATACGACGACACAACTCGAAACTCGCACCAAATTAGTGGGTTTGGGTTTATCATAAATAGGTTCAGGTCAAAATCAGGTCGAACCCGCGAAACACGAATAAATAACGTGTCATTTTCAGGTTGATCCGCCAACCCGCAATTGACCCGCGATAACCCGTTTATTAAACGTGTCATATTTTGGTAACATGATTATATAAGCCGTTTGTTACCCGTTTATTACGTAGGTTAAAAATGTTTCAGCATTTATAAGTTCCTACTTCCTAATCTCGCAAGTCGCAGCCGCCCAAGCTCAACATTCCAAAGTCCAACCCTATGTCTCTCGACTCTCCTCTCCTTTGACTTCCACTCTCTCTGAACTCTCTTCTCCACCGCCTGAGCTCTTAGTCCACCGGAGGACCACCGCCTGAGCTCTCAGTCCACCAGAGGACCACCGCTTCTCTTAGTCTAAACCCACCCACCCTCGTCCTCACCTACCCTCGCCGCTTCTTCTTCTTCTTTCCTCTCCGCCTCATTCTCTCTGGACTCTCCACTCTCTCCGTCAAAATCGGCCTTGGGGAGCAGATTCTTTGCTTGGGGAACAGATTCAGCCTTGGAGAGCATATTCTTTGCTTGGGGAACGGATTCGGCCTTCGACAGGTATTTCCCCTGTCCATTTTTTATTTTTATTTTGATGATTTGATTTGAGCTATGGTTTGCTTGGGAAATGAATTCGGCCTTGGAGAGTAATTGGAATATGCTAAATGTGAAATTATGAACTTTTTAACTCTGTTTGGAGTTGATTAGAAACATTGAGCGTGGTCTAACAAAATCAAGGACGAACTTAGCTTCTTTTATTTTGGTTGGTTATTGTGTTGGTGTGAGTTGACTTTTCAGTCCACGTGATTAAAGTGAGTTTGTTTAGGATCATGGATTTGTAATTCAATAAATATCTTACTTTTCATAGACATTGCGGGGAAGTAGTGTTGCAATGGTTTTATGAGCTTTGTTGAACCTTTGTGTTGAAACATTTTACATTGAAAGAATTGCACATGTGATTCTAGTAGGAGTATGTGAGGAAGCGACATGTAAATCGTTGAAAGTTAGTTTTATGGAGAGTCAACTGGTTAGAATGAATCAAGGTTTAGAATTGTTTATCTACTTTAGAGTTAATTCATGCATGTGAACTGTGACTTGATCGTGTTTAGAGTTAATCCATTGGATAGTACCTTTCTTTTTTTTTTGGTGAAGTTTATGTATTTTCTCTGTTTTTCTTTGTGTGTACAATTGACGATCCTTGTTTTTCTTTAGAAGGTACAATTTGTTGATTTTATGCCATTTTTTAGTATTTTTCCTCAACTGAATGGTTTTGCTATTTTGTTCTTTCCTTTATTTTTTTGTTTGTGTAATTAATAGCTTTTATGAGTTTTCTTGTTGGTTTGTTTTACATTGAATCGTGGTCTTAATTACTATCCAATTTAACTGGTGTAATATTTGCGGATGTAAAAAGTGACTGAAGTTGTCTTTCAATTTATGCAGATTGCAAAGATCAGATCTGATCAACCATTTGGGGGTTGAGCTCTTAAAACTTTTCAACTGATATCTTTGAGCAAAGGTTGGAACTTGGTTCCAGACATAAAGATTGAAGAGTTGATCCACACACACAGATTGGCCTTCCCTTCGGGTGGGTTTTCAATGGGGATTTTCAAAGAGTTAGGATTTTTCGGTAATTTTGAGTTTCTTTCTGCTCCTCCACGAGAAGCGGAGGAGGCTTTAGAGCATGAGCCAGAGGCAACAGTAGAGGAGGATTACAGTGATGAAGAGATGGATGTTGATGAGCTTGAGAGGAGGATGTGGAGAGACCACATGCTATTGAGGCGGCTGGAAGAGCAAAATAAGGAGACAAATTAAGGTGGTTTCAAACTTATTTAAATTATGTATATTTTCTATATTGATTTTGAACTGACTTGTATCTATATATATATATATATATATATTTGTTTTCGTGTAGATTTCAATGAAGAGGTGGAGGATCTTACACAAGATATCTTCAACTTTTCATTGAAAGAAGAGGAGCATTTCTCACAGGGATCAACTTCTCCTGAACGTAATAATGTACTTGTAGTCCCCCCACTACAACAAATTATTTAAATGTTTAATTATTAATCATGTATGTTTATTTTCTAATTTATGAGACTTTTATGTGTTTGTTTTTTAATTTGTGAGAGACTTTCATGTGTTTTTTTTTTTTAATTTTGAACTTAGATTATGTAATGTCTCTACATCATGTTAAACAGGTTGCGAAACATGTTCAGAAATAGGTTCTGAAATAGGTTCAAAAATAGGTTAACACGACCTATTAATCACTTGTTTCATAAACGTGTTGGCAGGTAATTAATGGGTTGACACGACACGTTTACGACCAAATTCATAAATGTGTTGGCAGGTAATCAACAGGTTGACATGACACGTTTACGACTTGTTTAATAAACGGGTTAATCGTGTCGTGTCGTGTCAACCTGCTAATAAACAAGTCGTGTTTGAGTTTTGTATTTTGACACGATTAATAAACGAGTCGTGTTCGTGTCAGACCTATTCGTGTCAACTGAGGGGTTCAACACGACACGAACACGACCCGTTAACACGAATTGCCACCCCTAACCTCAAGGGTTTTGTTTATAACAATAGTCTAGTCTGGGTAGCGAATGAATATTACCTTCCTACCCCTTAATTGATCTGTACATGGCGCTATTGTGACCGTGTTTAAAGTTAGTTTTATTTTTATTTTTCACATTTATTGAGAAAAAATAAAAACGGAAGAGAAACAACGTTTAGCATAATTAAAGATAAAAAATAAAAATAAAAATGATTTTTTAATTTAGTGTAAAATAAAGAGAAATGAAAAATGACTTTTAATCGTTTTTCATTTTTTGTTTCCGTTTTTTCCTAGCATAGTGAGAGACATTAATTGATTTTTTCTATATTAAAAACAATCTCTTAATAAAACTACCAAACACATTTTTAAAAATAATTTCTGTCTGAGATTGAAAACATTTTTATTTCTATTTTCATACAAAAAATAAAATTATTTTTAAACGAGTTCCAAACGCACCCTATATATCATCTTTTTATTTGTTGGTTTTCTTCAATTAATTTTTAACATTTGGCAGTCTATTAAAAGTTGATAGTTTGAATATAACATATATTTAACCACATAGTTATTTAATCACATATGAATAAATAACTATTGTGCAGTACTAACTTTGTTTGACAAAATATGAATAAATAACTATTGTGCAGTACTAACTTTGTTTGACAAAATAAATATCGTGTTAAGAATGTTCAATTTAACTATAAATATTTTGAAGCTATGATGGACCAAATTTACCTATATATTTAAAGTTTAAGTAATTAATACTTAATTGATTAATCATTTAATAAAGTAAATATCATTTTTAATTATGGTTCGTGCCACGGTCAAGAATTAAAATTACAATTTAAAAATATATAGATATCTTTGTAAAAAGTTAATGTTTACAAACAAAAGCTTTGTTCGCCAATATAGTTAATTTCTATGTGATGCGACCCTTCACTATAAATATTCATGATTTGAGTTAGATGAACAAATCTGGTTTAACCTCTCCCAACATATTTTTATCCACAAATTTCGTTGAATTTGTTATGAGTATTTTATCTATGAACAAATCATAGTTAATGTTTAAATATCCACAATAGACACAAATCATATTTACTCAAGCTTCCCGAATTAATGCCTAACGAGAATATCATTAATCTTGAATATTGAAGTTATGAATTACATATCTATGATTAAAGTTCCCTACTAAATTAAGCAATATGCTATCAACATATTGAGGTATTGGTCCATCGAATTTCCTCGCTCATTGGTGTATCAAGAAACGTACTACAGGGAACGTGAGTCCGTCCACCACTATGGATTAAGGTTCATCCGCAGTCAACTATTTTTAATGTAATAGTTCTTTATGTTGCATTTGGTATGAAAGTTCAAACCATGGTAGTTTTAGTTTTAGAATATTAACCATGATTCGTGGTTTGAACTTAGGGTCCAAACCATAGTTCTAGAACCGAAATCAGAACCAGAGGTTTAAACCATCCAAAACCAAAGGAGAGTTGGTTTTTATTTTTTGTGGTGGTTCTTATTTAAAACATCACATTAGAGTTTAAACCTTGAACCTGACCATCCAAACTAAACACTGATTTTTAAGAACTATTTTTTACTTTTTCAAACAAACAAAGGTTTAAACCAGAATCATGGTTCCGATTTTAAAATCCTCATACCAAATGTAACCTTAAAAATAAACATATCTTATCAAACAACATATTCCATTGTGGTCATTTATGCTAAATACTATAAAATATGAGTTAAATGATGATTGATTAGTGTAGATGATCTTTTTTTTTAGGATTTATTTCAAAAATTTCCCCCGAATTATAACCTTTGTAACACTTTGTCTCCCGAATTTTAAAAGGTAACATCCGTTCCCTCTTAACTTGTTCTGTCAACAAGTTTTCCCCTTCTATTATAATAAGTGACGGAATTGTCACATGTCGCTTATTTAGTGAGAATAAAAAAGCACAATTACACGTATACATTCCTAATCAGATAATTCTCCCTTTTTATTGAAAAAATTCACCATATTCATTTCCATTTTGCCACCTCCTCTCCTATGATGATGGATGGGATGCTCTCGAGTGGGTGAACTCAAGATCATGGCTTCAAAGCAAAAAAGACTCAAAGGTTTATCCCCCCCCCCCCCCCCCCCCTCTCCCTCTCTCCCACCTTGAAAATTTGAATGCGAAACATGTTGTCTCGCAAATTTGTGAAATGGGTTCTACTTTTGATGGTGATCTATATATCCGTGTTTGAATTATCCAGCTCCAAAGTCGATCCTCAGCTATACATATATACATACTGTTGGAAAATAATGGCATCGAGTGCGCAACAGAATTTTTTAAAAAAATTTAAATCAATGCCAAAGCCAATCAAGAACATGTTCATAATGCTATATAACATAAATACTAAAGATCTAAATCATACCTTTTGAGATTTAGAAAATTGCACGTTTGACAGATTAAAGCATTCCAAACAGCAACCGGAAGAGCCTCAACCAACTGGTCTTCTTTGCTATTCTCGCTTCCACGATCGGAGTGCGGGTGGACACACGTCGTTCAATCTCCTCTTGGTATTCTTGATCTCCTTCCAATCACAAGAGAGCCAAAGAAAAAATTATTCTTGAGAATTAAACAATTTTTCCTCTTAGGAATCTTTTATCAATAGCCTCCAAAAAGTTTCTCAAGTGATCTAATGAGTAATGTGACTTAATATGCTATTTATAGTGTTTAGGAAGTCATACTTCCATAATAATTAGGTTTCCCAAAGTCTTAATCGCATCCAGAGTCAATTTTGCCACGCAGCATGCATTTTACGTTACAACCGGTCGACTGGTGACAGATGTTATAACTCACCGGTCAACCTGTCCTTCACGAACCGGTCAACCTGTGACCGGTCTACCCAACCAATCGACCTGTCTGCACTGACGAAAGTTATTTTCCTAGTTCTTCAACACGAGAAACTTGCATAGAGCCTCAGTTTTGATTCAAGCAACCCAATAGAGAAATTGCCTGATCAAAACAGTCATATAATAGTATTCCCATATTAAACAACTCTTAAAACAATAATTTAACCAATTTATCTAGAATTAATTTATCAATTAATTTATCCGATAAATTACCCATGAATTAACTTTGAACCTCTTTTACGGAAATAACACAAGTTACCAATGTGTAGGAAATACGCCGTATCGTTACAGGAAATTATGTGAGCTAGCAAAGGGACCCGATGGACATATATAAATCAAGCTCCTATAATCACACCGCTAGTTGTAAACCAACAAGTCCGTCTCATGATTATAAAACTCTAGCGATATTCCACTAAAAGCCTAGAGCTGCACTCTCGATTTATATAGCGTATTTACAAAGCTCTGATTAGCTCTAGTCCATGACTCAATACATTAGAATGGCCGAGCGCTCGTATTTTCCAATCCACTGATAATACATAAGAGGATATCATTGACTCTCTATAGGAGCTATGGATTCCACTATCTATGAATAACGAATCTACGCATACACGAGTCATACCCCCAATGTACCGGCAAGCATACCTTTACATAATGTTAGGATGTCTCCCTTTAGTACATCAAAGGATATAAGTCAAGCATACGGGTTCATCATCCATCTCAGGATTAAGATAACAACATATAATTCGTCAAAAGTGAATTGTTTTATTCAAACAGAATTATTAATTAAAACAATTCAACTTTGGTCCGATCCAATATAGATTTCACCATTAGAAACTATATCAATGTCTCCACCCATGGAGTCCCACCTCCGACGACCAAGACAAGCCGTCTCCGTTATGAAGTAGACAATATAACAATCTTAACATGAATAAAGCGCCCAACTTTATTCCTTCGATTGTGGATCATAAGATTTAGACTATCATCTTTAGATTCTTGTCTTCCACATGTTCTTCACATTACATGCATGACCTAAAGATTTAGAATGACAGTCTCAGACTTTCAGTTTACTTACCATACATTCAACTATTATGAACATAAAGAGGACAATACATAGATATATGAAATAAATAAATCTTTATTAATAGTCAAAATGTCTCAAAGAATATTGTTACATTTATTCCTAAGGGCATAAACGCTAACACATGCATATATATAGAGAGAGAGAGAGAGAGAAATGCCTAAAAAGCGACGGAATGAAAAGGGATCTGAGCTAAAACCCATGAAGCATTTGAACTTTAGTAAAAGGTAAAGCTTTTCTTTTGTTATGCAAATCCAGCGGGAAACGATTTGAGAAAATGAGAGAGAGATAGTTTAGTTAGAGAGAGAAAAAGACGAAAATGGTGAATCATCAGCTCCAAAGCTGATGGTGAAAACCATGTAATTATTTGATTAGGAAGGTATAAGCGTAACTACGCTTTCAATTCTTACTAAGTAAGTGACACGTGGTAATTCCGTCATTCATTGTAACAGAAGGATAAAACTTGTTAACTGAACAAAGTTAAGGGGGAATGGATGTTACCTTTTAAAATTCGGAGGGGGGGGGGGGGGGGGGGGGGGGCAAAGTGTTACAAGAATCATAGTTCGGGAGGAATTTTTGAAATTAATCCTTTTTTTTTTTTTACTTAAAATGATACTAAGTTGATTTATTATCTCATAAACATGTCAACAAAATTACTTTTTAGTTTTTTTTCTCATTTTTTGGCATTTTTCAGGAAAAGCCTAATTAGGCTCAGATCGCCTAACCTAACCTGCACGTCATACAATGATATGATTTTTAACTAGCAACCGTAAAGTATCGCACTAAAATTTCGTTCAATTCGCCGATTCGAGGTTTTAATTCGAGTTGAGATGTGACTTTATGTAAGACTTTTTAACTGTAGTAGAAAAAGTTATATATGACTTGTAGCAGAAAAAGTTAGATGCGATTTTTTGTGAGAGCTTTTAACTGTAACAAAATTAGAATTGAAAACTCGAATTAGTGAAATGAACGATGCCTAAAATACTAACAACTTTTAGCTAGTAACGATAAAAGGCATGTTTGGTAACGTGTTCAAAATGATTTTATTTTCAGTACAAAAGTAAAAATAAGATTGTTTTGAGAATTATTCTGGAATAGATTCTGAAATTGCGTTTGGTTGGCTTTTTAAGAAATTATTTTGAGTATAATAAAAAGTGAAATCGTGCTTGGTTATAATTATTAATTAATATATTATAACGTTGTTGATAAATACTAGAAAATGAAACAGAAAAAGAAAAATAACTTTTAATTGTTTTCTAATTCATTTACAAAAATTATTTTCACTATTTTTTTTTTGTTTTCATTGTCGTTTTCAAAACATTTACTAAACCAACACAGTTTATAAATCATTTTCATTTTTTTATCTCATAAAATGTGCAAAAATATTTTCAAAAATAATTTAAAATTAATTCCAAACACACCTAAAATATCACAATAGATATGTCATATGGGTGGTCACTAACGGACTATTGCCGATTGTTAGAATTTATAGTGTAACAAAAGGATACCTCTATGTCGAATAGTAGGATACCTGGGATGTCGAAACTTTTATAGAGTGATGTCTGTCTGTAGTATAAGAAGAAGAAGAAGAAACCCATTATAGACTACTTCATTGCCTTTCATCAATTGGCCCATTATCCTATTCCAAACAGAAAAAAATACGCGATTTTTTACCTATCTTTTTGAAGTAAATAACATAATATTTAAATAGCATTTCCAATTTTACTTGTTAGGGTTTTCTTTCTTTCCTCATCTGTTTCTCTCTCAGACCCCCAAAAGATCTATCTCTATATGCCTCTCTCTTTTCTCTCTCTCTCTCTCTAAACGAACGACGATTCCACCAACGTTTCTCTCTCTCCGGTGACATTTCCTTCGCGATTCCTTTCCCTCTCTCTCTCTCTGTGTTCGCGATTCCGGTCAAGCAACGTCGTCGTTGGGATGTCCTTCGCAATCTCGATTCGTCACGCTCTCCTCTCCGGATCTCGAAGTAGGGCCCGCGATCTCCTTCGCCTTTTCCGTTCGGCGGCGGTCGTGATTGCAGTAGGCTAGGGTTTCAGCCGATCTGCTCTCTCTCTCTCTCTCTGAGAACGGCTCGTTGTCGTCAATCTCTGCGAATCCGACTGTGATCCGACGACGGCAACATCTTTTTGCCTTTTTTCTTTTGTGATTTGTTTGTATGGGTTTGTGATTTTATATACAGGTTCGGCGGCGATGTTGTAGTGGGTGGCCGTCGGTGACCGGCGACGTTCTCGTCGGGAAATTGATCGTCGAGCTTGTAAAGTTCCGACGTCAGATCGACCTCTGTCGCCGTCGTCTCTGACGAAGATCGCCGACGACTGAATTTATGGGTAATACCATATTTAGCGTTGCTGGAGCTAGTCGTCGGAATTTTAAATACCATATTTGAATCGGGTAAATATCGTAAATAATTTACTAATTACAAGATTTAATATGATAAATAGTGTATATATGAAAATACTATAGTAGTTATAATATTTAAATATGATAAATATTATATTTATTAATAAATATTTCACTAAAATTTAAAATTTAAGTTTAAATTTAATAAATATTTCACTTAATTGAATCTTAAATATAGTAAATAACGAGCATGTATTCCGTGCGTTGCTGCGGAATATAATATTTTATTGTATGATAGTTATATTTAAAATGTATTCATATATATATATATTATACAGTATTATATTATATGATAGATATAAAATTTATATAAATATATTTACATATATAGTCTTATTATTTATAATATATATATATATATATACAGATTGTACAAAATAAAATACAATGTTGTTGTGTTTCTTGAGCGTTTTATTTCTTTCAACTGTAAATATAAAAATGAGAAAAATATTTGTAAATATAAGTGTTAAGAAAAATAAAGCAGTATAAAACATTGTTGTTGTTTCAATCCTTATTGATTTTTTAAAAAAAAAGCAAGATAGGAATGTTAAAAAAATAAAAATTAGTGAATATAATTTTTAAAGAAATTGACAAACTTTTATCATACATAGTGTAAATTAAATGATATAGAAAAAAATATATTACTTTGTCCTTATACGTTTTTAAAAATGTTTTGTGCCATTGATTCAGAGTTGATATTGTAAAATATTATTTAGATATGTATTTAAAATAGTAAAAAAAATTTATATTTAACATGTTTTATCTTATGCTTTATCTTTTAATGATTGGCGTATATGGATCAACTGTGGTTGAGTCTGATATCTGTGATGATGGTGTTGGTTGCGGACTGAAATGAAAAAAAAATTGATATGTATTTAAAACAATAAAAAAAAATTTAGACATATATGATATAAATTAATAAATATCTTGTGCTTGATCTTTTTATGATTAGCGTATGTGGATCAATTATGATTGGGTCTAATATCTGTGATGATGGTATTGGTTGAGGACTGAAATGAAAAAAAAATTGATATGTATTTAAAACAATAAAAAAAAAAAACTTTTATCATACATGTGTAAATTAAATGATATAGAAAAAAATATATTACTTTGTCCTTATACGTTTTTAAAAATGTTTTGTTACTTTTGATTCAGAGTTGATATTGTAGAATATTATTTAAATATGTATTTAAAATAGTAAAAAAAAAAATTTATATTTAACATGTTTTATCTTATGCTTTATCTTTTTATGATTGGTGTATGTGGATCAATTGTGGTTGAGTTTGATATCTGTGATGGTGGTGTTGGTTGAGGAATGAAATGAAAAAAAAAATTGATATGTATTTAAAACAATAAAAAAAATTTTAGACATATATGATATAAATTAATAAATATCTTGTGCTTGATCTTTTTATGATTGGCGTATGTGGATCAATTATGGTTGGGTCTGATATCTGTGATGATGGTGTTGGTTGAGGACTGAAATGAAAAAAAAATTTGATATGTATTTAAAACAATAAAAAAATTTAGACATATATAATATAAATTAATAAATCTGTCGTGCCTTTGTGGATCTATTGATGCATAGTCACTGTTCTGTTCTCTCTCTATTTTGTATTGTGTAAAATATAAAATCAAATAAATTAAAATTTGTAAATATTTTCAATCCCTCCATTTACAGCAAGATCCAGATAGCTATATGCAACCAAAGGAAACAAAGGGACCCACATAAGAAGATGGCACTCACTGAGCTTAGGAAAAATACTGGACCCACGTCAGCAGCTAGGAAGGTGAGCAAGAGAAAGAGGGGCAATTAACAGACACATGTGTTGGACCATCTTCAAAACAAATGAAATTAAAACAAAGGACAATATAGTAATTTTACGTTAAAAAAGACATAATGGGAATATAAAAATCATTTGAAGAAATTTGTAGGGGTAAAAGAGGAATGATACTGTTCATTGCATTGTAGCATGAATAGTGAATCCCGTCATCTGTTTCAGTATATGTATAATATGTTTATGAGTAAAAACTTTACTGACTTTGAGTTTTAATATGATAAATATTGTATTTAGGGTGCGTATGGTTGGGGAAATGAAATGGAAAGACTATTCTCTTTAATTTTCTTGTTTAGTTTCATTTTTTAGTTGGAATGAGCTTTTAGTTGGAAAGCCTATTCACTCAATTTGAGTGAATGGGCATTCACTCGGGGGTTGGTGGAATGGGTTGGTGGAATAATATTGCCATTCAGACATTTTTTTTCATTTTCTCCATATTGTTCTCGAGTTTTAATCGAGAAGAGACAAACCTTGGAGCTCCCATCGCCGTCGCGACCATTGGAGCTCCAATCATCGTCGTGACCACTCGAGCTCCCATCGCCGTCGTCACCCGAGACGTTCTTCCGCCAATCGATTCTTGCCTTCTCACTTCCTTTTCTGCCTTCCTCCACTTTGGCTCGTTCGTTTTCATTTCAATCTCGTCCTTGGATTTCAATTTTCTTAGATCCGGTTGTAGCTTCACCGGTGCCTCTATTTCTGACAAGGTCAGGTCGCGGTTGATTTCGGCAAGGTCAGGCTCCATTCTTTGATCTCGGTTGAATTTTTTTCATTTTTTCGAGTGTTTCTTAGATTTGTTGCTTTTTTGGATTTGTTGCTTTTTTGGATTTGTTGCTTTGCTCATTGAAAACCCGTGTGATGATCGAGCTGTGCGGATGATTTGCTTTGCTCATTGAATCTGTTTTTTGTTGAACTAACGTGCTCATTGGATCTGTTTGGTTGGCTCATTCGTTTTTGTTTCAATCTCGTCATCGGATTTCGATTTTCTTAGATCCGGTTGTAGCTTCACCGGCGCCTCTATTCCTGGCAAGGTCAGGTCGCGGTTGATTCCGGCAAGGTCAGGCTCCATTCTTTGATCTCGGTTGAATTTTTTTCGTTTTTTTCGAGTGTCTTTTGTATGGATCTGTTTCTTGAATTTATTGCTTTGCTCATTGAAAACCCATGTGATGATCTCGAGGATTTGAAGTTTGAAACTTATTTCCTTCGAACAAGTGTAGAATACTGAGTGCGGTGAGAATTTTTGTGTACCCATTTGTAATTTTGGCTATGATTCTATCATTTGTGATTTTGGCTGTGATTCTGTCATTTGTGATTTTAGCTGTGATTCTTGTCCACGAGCAATCACCTGGTAAATATAAGAATCAAGTCATAAGAAAAGTAACACTTTGGAACAAGCATGTAGCAGCATAATACCATATGAAACACAACAATTTCTAGCATAATACCATGGAACCCTGTTGAAGATTTCCTCAGCAAATGCACGTGTTGCACTTGATGATGATACTTCAAACTCCTCGAGCTCACTACATCAGCTGGTGATGTTGCTTGTTTAGCTACAATAAAACAAAAATCATCATATTTGTTAGTTAAAATACATAGTACATAAAAAAAATTTAAAAAAAAACAATTTGCAGTATGAGGTTAAAGCAACTTACATAGCTTGATGACATACAGAACAAGCATGGATTGAGAATATCCTAAGAGTGACATTAGCTTATCTGAAACCCATGTTTTCAGATTTCCATCACTTGCCATATTCACTGCCAAAAAAAAAAGTTTAGGTTATTCCATTTGTATACTTTCTTAACTTTGGAAACGGTGTCAACCTCCGTTGAAGTGTGCCATCCTTTTGGCTAGTGCATACTAATTTGGTTCTTTCATGGTTTGACTAGTGCATACTTTTATGCTCAGTTTTTTAGACAATGGAGTTGAAATGGACTAATTTTGGTTGTTTTATTGTAGGATAATGGCTCACTGAGAAAGAAGAATATAGTTGCTTTGCTTTTACATTGGTTGAATATTATGCATGTAGTGCAATGGTTCTTTCAATTGATGGAAAGAGTGGTGATGGAAGATATAGAATCAAACTTTGTAAAGAGACAACTTTATGTGCTTGATGTGTTTGTTCATAGGCAATATGTTCATCAACTAGCTTACGCAAGTGATGTCATATGCAGAGATCAATTAAGGATGAATAGAAATGTCTTCACTAATTTGTGCACATTGCTAGAAACTAGGGGTGGGTTGAAAGCGTCTAAGTATTTGCAAGTAGATGAGCAAGTCGCTATGTTTTCACATATCATTACTCACCATGAGAAAAATAGAGATAAAATTCCATTTTATGAGATCTGGACAAACGGTTAGTAAGTACTTTCACAATGTCTTGCATTCAATCATTCGACTTCATGGAGTGTTATTCGTTTGACCCGAGCCGGTTGCAGATAACTCAACTGATGAGAGGTAGAAATGGTTTAAGGTACGTATCTATTTTTGTGTTATGTTTAAAATGGGCAGCACCCATGGTGTAATTAGTAATTATATCTTTTATTTATTATAGAATTGCCTAGGTACACTAGATGGAACCTATATTAGGGTGAGTGCGCCTGTGATAGGGACTCAAACATCGTAATCGACATAGAGCTGTAGCAACAAATGTCTTAGGAGTATGCACACGAGATATGGAATTTATATATGTGTTGCCTGGATGGGAAGGATCTGCAGCTGATGGTAGAGTATTACGCGATGCTCTATGTAGAGAAAATAGTTTACGTGTTCTAAATGTTAAGTTTGTTTGTTACTAGTAAAGTAGTTTACTCGTTCTTTGTTACATCGTTCGTTGTTACATTTACAAAATGTTAAATCTATATTTATCAATTTTTTTTAATAGGATGTTACTATCTTGTTGATGCTGGATACACAATTGTAATGGATTCATTGTTCCATTTCGTGGCCAACGGTACCATCTAAAGGAATGGGAAGTTGGAACACAACCTAGGAATTCAAAAGAGTATTTTAATATGAAACATTCACATGCTAGGAATGTGATTGAGAGATGTTTTGGTGTACTTAAGAGTCGTTGGGCGATTCTTTATAGTCCATCATTCTTTCCAATCAAAGCTCAAAATCGCATTATCTTGGCATGTTGTTTGTTACATAATTTTATTAGGTGCAAAATGCCTAATGACATTCCAGATCTAATATTAGAAGATGAGTGTGAGAATGACGAACAAGATGAAGAAGTATAAGATTATGATGATTTGATAACAGCCGTTAAGCCTTCAGAAGAGTGGACTGGGTGGAGGAATACGAGAGCACAAGATATGTTTAATAACTGGAGGCATCGTAAGAATGCAAGACAATTGTCTATGTGTTTTTTCCTTAGAAATTGTACTGGAACTTGTATTGGGACAAATTTATGTTGTTTGCATGTTTTATTTGGCACATTCGAATAATATGCGTTGCTTTGAATTGTTTTCATCTATAGTATTTGCAAGTTACTAATTATATATCATAGAGGATGTTGATTATTGATTGTATACATGTTTGTTCTTTATTATTGTTAGAATGAATACTTCCAAATCTAGAGGTCTATGTCAAAATAAAAGGTTTTGGAATGAAGATGAGGATAAATTCTTAATTGAAGCTTTAATAGAGTTACATAACGAGTGAACATATAAAGTGGAAGGTAATTTTTAGGCTGAAAATCTGCACGCTCTTGAGAAAAAGTTACATAGTAGGTTGTCAGGATGTGACTTACTAGTTAGGCCACACATAGAGTTAAGAATAAAAACTTTGAAGACTCATTTACAAATTGTGCATGAAATGCTAATTGGGCCTAACTATAGTGGTTTCGGATGGGATCCAGATAAGAAAACGGTTACAACTGAGAAGCCGGTGTGAGAAACATATCTCAAGGTACTTATAATATAATTCAATAATATGGTTGATAGTAATAGAAGTTGTTCATTTAGTTTAATCTTGTTTGTATTAAATTTAGAGTCACAAGGATGCATTATTGTTTATGACTAAGGTTTTTCCTTACTATGATAACTTGTGTATGATTTTCGGCAAAGATCGTGCAACTGGTAAGGGTGCCGAGGCTGTTGCTGAAGTAGTTGAGGAACTTGAAAAGGAAGCAGCTGACGACATTAATATTGACGATGACTGTTTCAATAGCATTCACAATACGACTTATGTGGATGAAGCACAATCAATGTCTTTCACACAAGCATCGACTGTTCCTCAAATTCAAGCTCAATCTCAAGGTTCGTCTAAAAAAAAGGAAAAGTATAAACAATGTAGAGGCTTATGAAGCCATTGAAAAATCATCTAGTTTACTTGCTGGTGTTATTGAAAAGGTAAGTGAACGTTTAAGTCGGGCTATCGGTGAAGACATGATGGAAAAAAATAGCCGAATTAGAGATGAGCTACAAATGACCAAAACCATTAACACAATGGAACGACATAAGGTAGTTCGGATGATGTAAAAGATGATGCTAAAGTTTCATACTTTTTTAGTATCCCTGATGATGAAAGAGATGAGTGGGCTAGAGCTTTTCTTGCTGGTGATATTTAGGAGTGGTTGTTTAGTTTCAGTGGAAAAGTATAGCCGGATTATCTTTTGATATTGTAATGTATGTACTATGCATTTTTCTTTTGATATTGTAACTAATTAGGATTATGCTTCACTTTGTTAAATTGTATTAACTGGAAACTTGTTTGACTTGGCAGATGATGGATGTTGTATATAGGTAAATCTATTAGTTTTGGTGTATGACTATATTTTGAGATTATATATGTAGTTGAATGATATATTATGTCATTTTTATTATTGACAGAGATTAAAGTGATCATTTTACTCGATACATATCATGGTAGATACTAAAAGTGATCATATTTGAGCCTGTGATAATTTATTATTACATAAAAATATCAAATATTATTTTTTTAATTGAAATATAATTTTTAAATTTTATCCTTAAAATAAAAAGTTTTTTTCAATAATTAAATTATTTTTTTACTATTTTAATTAATTAAATATTAAATTATTTATGATTATTAATCAAGGGTATTTTTGTCAAAATATAGTTTACTTCCATTCCATTCCATTGTCAACCAAACAACATAATCTTCATTCAGGTATTGATTTCATAATTCCAACCAAACTAAAGAATCAGTTTATTATTCCAGCACATTCTAATTTCATTCCCTTACCATTCCTATTATCATTCTGACACTGCAACTAAATGCACCCTTACAGTAAAGACTTTATTGAATTTAATTATCAATTTAATAAATAGATTTTAATTATAGTGTATTTATAGTTTTAATTACCATGAAGATGATGTTGTCTTTATGTGTCCATAACTATCGCACCACCAATTGGCTCCTGCCTGTTTTAGTTGTCGATAGCATCTAGGGCAGGAGTTGTAGTATCAACCTTAATTTGCTAAAAATTTAGTTATGGTGGCCTTTACTGTGAATTTAGTGCCTAAATACATGTGGAAAGATTTTTAGCTTAAATAGTGTAATTAAAGGAAAAGAAATAGATGGAATATTATGATACTAACCTGGTTGTTTTTCTAATCCAATGTCTTTAGTTCATCAATTGTTCTCCTATTTAGTGTTTTTTGCTCTTCAATAGATTGTATTAGTACTGTTGATGCTGTTGAGAAGTCAATTTCTTGAGGTTGCTGAGAGAATCTATATATACAAAATTGATTATTATTATGAAAAAATTTGCATAAAGTTTGGGAATTTTTTTCTTACCTTGTTTTTAATGTTTTTGTTTCCGGTATGTCTGGATCAAAAAAGAAGATTGTTGCTGCAGTACTTAATACATATGCATTGCCTAAAACATAAACAATAAATTGGTTAATATTTTGGTGTATTAGATGTAAATATTTTATTTTTACTTGTCATTATTCTTATAAGTTGTTAAAAAAATACCTAGAAATTATTTCACCAACATTGCTGTAAAAACTGCAACAACTGGTCCTTTCATTGATTTAATGAAATTTTCGTCAAATTGATCCGCTTTATGTCCCCATAATATGACTTGAAGCTGTTCGTTCTTGTGAGAAAAAAAAAGGTAAAATAAAAAAGTTAGAATAAAGAGTTTTAAATGATGTAAAAGTTGTATACTTTTATTAAATATAAATTTTTTTATATGATTGTGGTAATGATTATGAAAGGTTAATTTACCTTATATTTTGTATCATTATGGTCCGTCGAGATGTTTGTCTACCGTTGATATTTGTTTGTACAATTGTTTGCACTCTTGTAAGAACACCAATGACATCTGTTGGAAAGTAAATAGTAAGTGTTAAAGATGTTGATTAATAGATTGACGATGTATTATTTTTTTGAAAAAGTAATTTATCTTATGTTGAATTCTATCCTGAAGCTGATCGAATTCGATGAAGTAAAATTTATGAAATGGAATAGGTGGTGCTTCTTCTATAATTGAGATGAAGGCTGTTGCACAGGCAAGCTGTAGCATTGCAACATGTGGCACAACTTTGTATGTTGGTTTATTCTAAGTGATGAAGAAGTTGCTAATATCATATATATTGCCTAATTGAATTTTTTTGGTAAATAGTGTTTGAGTCTCGTGCCTAAATTAATCCTTGAATTACTTCATGCTGCAAATATGAAAGGTAATATTGTTATTAAATTTATAATATTTGGCATTAAATGAAAAATAATAGGATATTGTATTTGTTAAAAAGCATTACCTCTTCGTCGACTAAAACACAATCAAGACTGGTCAAACGTTCAATGCTCAGATCATTATTTGCCCATAAACTGCAGATGTGGCCCTAATAGTCTCATAAACTTCATTTGGTTTTAGGGCTCGAATTAATGTCGTCATTTTGGTTAACTGTTGGCAAAAAAAGGTAATTGTTTTAGTGTATAAAAATAGGAACTTTTATTCGACATGTTTTTGATACATGAATAGTAAGCAATTTTGATTATAAAAAAAGATTATGAATCTAATATTTAATTTATTATAATATTTGTATTTTTATATGGTATTTTATTTCTTCATTTGATATTATGTATAATTTCTTTGTAAACAATATTTTTTATATAATTTGGATATTTATTAATTGAATTATGAATTAGTATGTGCAATCCTTTTGGAGTTGTAGCTCTTGATAAAGCGACATATAGTTATCCGTGGGTAAAAATTTCACTATCTAGATATAATCCTATTTTATTCAAAGATTGTCCTTGGTTTTATTTATTGTCATTGCATAGCAAATTTTAATAGGAAATTGTCATCTTTTTATTGTACATGGCCATTTAGATTCATGTACAATCATTTCTATTCTTGAGATATAGACTTTTTCATTAACATTGCTTGAGTTTATGATTTGTCATTCTATAATTTTATTTGTTGATTGTGTAATAATAAGTCTTGTTCCATTACATAATCCAATTGATTGATTTCGTAATAACATTATAGGTGTTCTTACTTTAGGTTTTAATTCATGTGGTGGTATTCCATTAAAGTTAAGAGTGTGCAAAAATTCTTGAGGATATAAAAGATTAAGTTCGTCTATGTTTTCTGATAAGGATACAATAGTGTTGTAGCTATAATAAGATTTTTCTTCTCCAGGAATTAAGGATAATATGTAATTATTAATTTCGTTAGTTGTTTTATTTTTTGGTGTTATGATTGCTCGTTCTTTTAAGTATTCAATATTGCTAAAGTATTTAAATTATTATATATTGAAGTTGAAATTTTTTCAATTGGATTTGAATCATAATGTAGTACGTATTTTTCTGGTATTTTTACCCATGTAGTGTCTTCATTTTCTAAATCTTTTATTCCTTCAGTACCATTTCCAACATTTAATATCCATTTCGAAAATGTTGCAATTTCCTTTGTTTCTTGTATTGTACGATTGCATTGATTTAATCTCGTGTTTATGTTAACTTTAAAATTTTAAAATGTGGCCATAAATAAGAGTTATTTATAGTTGCATTTATTATATCTTCTTTTATTCCCGTAGGAATAACTGGTAAAATTTGTCAGAATTCACCTCCTAAGACAATTGTCATACCACCAAATGGTTTTTTAAAGTTATTTTTTAAATTTTGAACTGTTTTATCTAATGCTTCAAAATAATATTTATTAGTCATATGTGCTTCATCCCATAAAATAAGTGATGTTTTATCAATTAATTTTACCAATTGAGTTCTTTTTTTAATATGACAGGTAGAAAATTTATCTATTGAAAGTGGTATTCAAAATCTAGAATGTGCAGTTCTTCCTTTAGGCAGTAGTAGTGATGCTATTCCGGAAGATGCAACAGCCAAAATTATTTCATTATTTGATCTAATTTTTGTGATTATTGCGTTCCATAAATATGTTTTTCCAATTCCGCCATGACTA